CCTGATGGTTCCGTAAGAGTCGCAGTTTCAAATTGGGATGGTCATCCGAACCAGTTGCGTAAGCTATTCCCGACATGTTTAGACGTTCAGTGGATTCAGAAAAAACGGTGAGTAAAGTTAGTTTTCGGCGAATTGGTTCAAACATTTCGTAAACTAGTCACTCACTTAAGTTGTTTAGCGTCAGTTATTATCGGTCTTACATTTTCTTCTTCATACAGAAAGGCATTTCTTAAATTTCCTTCCTTGGAAGTCCGAAAGGCTGCTGTCTCACAGCCAAAGTTCCATGCCGGCAAACAGCTGAAACTGGCATTAACAGGAGGACCAGAGCTCAAGACTGCCATCGTTTGGGGTTTTCCAGCTGACACAAAAGAATCAGACATCAAAGGATTATTTGGTGGCGTTGTTTCAGTGTCACGTGATACAACTACAGGGAACCAGAGCGCGTAAGTATATTGATATCTTGATAGTTGCCTTCGAAACTAAATTGTTACTGCCTTTATCCCATTTTGATTAGATCAGTTCGTTCGTAACGTCTGACAGTGTATTGCCTTGTTTCAGATCCATGACTGTCGAGTTTGAAACCGCTGCAGATTGTAACAATGCGATTTCCTCAAACGCAACTCTGAAAGGTCGCCGCGTGACAATATTTTTAAAAGGTATGTAGAATGATAATTGAAATTTTACCTCAAAAGTTTTGATTTGCTCACATTACATGTCATCCAGACACCAACTTACTAGGATTTTCGCTTCAATCTTTCGAGTTTTTGCCTCACTAAACTAACCCGTATTTCTCCTTCAGATGTCTTTGTTGATGATTGTTCTAACAATCAACAGAAGCATTCTAAACCATCTGAGAAGAAAGCTAAACGTGAGTTTGTTTCGGTTTGTTTTGTATGTTTGTTCGCAATTGTGCTGTCTTTCTAAAGGTTTTTGGTGTTCATTATAGCTGTAGAAGTAGGTGTTTCAAAGGTCAAGGCTGCTCACAAAGTTTCAAAGGCAGAGGAAGTGAATGATGCAGATGACATTGAGGATGAGAATGACGACGAAGAGGACGAAGATACAAGTGAAGATGGCGACAACAGTGACGAAGACGATGAAAGTGAAGATGAAAGCGAGGAAGAAGAGGATGGAAGTGAAGACGAAAGTGACGAGGACGTTGATATGGTCTCACCTAAAGGCAAGGAGAAGAAGCAGTTTCCTGGCTTACACGACAAAAAAACTGGTGGATTTCCGAAAGCAGACAACCGTTCAGGAGATCAAAGCAACTTCAAAGCGCAGCACAAATTTGGTGGTGATTTCAAGCGCAACTCGTTTCGTGGTCGTGGTGGTCGATCTCGCGGCCGCGGTGGTCAGTCGCCTCACGGTCGTGGTGGTCAGTCTTTCCGTGGTCGTGGTGGTAACCGTGGGGGCTGGTCAAAACGCGGTGGTTCTGGTTAAAAAACTTGATTGCCCTGTAAATTCAAATTGCAAATAAATCTTTGTAAATGAATCTGATTTCTCTGACAGTTTGTTTTCCTTCCCTGATGAGTACTTCTGTTTTTAGTTAAAAAGCATGTCACTGACACAGGCATATCAGTCTGGTCAAGCCACTTCTTTGGCCGTATACAATCTACCCACCTCGGCAGACGAAACAGAAGTTCAGTCGGTATTCCCTTCGGCTAGGTCAGTCAACTTCGTACGAAGTCATTCTGCGTCTTCGCAATCTAAAGGGTGAGTACAGTTTGCTCCCTACAAATTGATTTGTTACCGCACAATTAACGACATTATAAGAGATCTAATTCACTCCGTTTTATGAGCAGTACCACAGTAGGTTCGACAGTCTGCGATATTTTTGTTTGGCAAGTTAAATGTCCAAAGGTGAACCTAGGCATTTTAATGATGTTCCGTTAGTACGTTAACAAGAACTGACTCCGATCTTTTACCTTTCTACCTTTTGTTACTGGCGACGCAGGTGTGCCACATTGACCCATTCCTGTAATGTGAGCAGGTGGTACTATTTGCGATGGAGTGAAATGCAGGAAGGTCAACCCGAACACTTTCGATGGAGGTAGAAATTTGTTACTCGAAAGATCTGCCTACGGGGTCTTTAGTAAAGCTTATTCGCTTCCCATTGATCGCTCCATATTTGCTCTCTTTTTCTGTTTCATATGTGAAACAGCATGTGCATCTTGCAATTCAACAATGCTCGCGACTGTCAACAAGCCTACGATGAATGTCTTCAAGGAAAAGAAATTGGTGGACAGCTGCTGCATGCGGAACTGAACGGAGGTGAGTTGGTCATTAAAACTCGTACAACCACTGGACTTATTTCAGAAGCTCTTTAATAATCACTCAGTTTATATATTTCAGATTATCATTCCAGTTCGTCGGAAAATTTAAATGTCAGCCAGCATTATGGAGGCAATTCCAGGGATTTCAGACGTTCACATGCCGATAATGAGTACAGCCAGCCCACATATGATCCGCATAGTAGAACTGATAGTGAAAGTTCTTCCAACGCCTCTTGTACACTCACCGTGTCAAATCTTCCCTATACAGCATCTGAAAGAGATATTATGCGCGAGTTCCCAGAAGCCCTCCGAGTGGCACTTTCGTTAGACGAGCAGGGACGTTCTAGAGGGTAAATTTTATTTTTGAACTTTCAATTGTTTGTAGCGTTGCTCACGTGACTTTCTCGAATTCCGACCAGTGCAGCGCCGCTCTTACTTCCTGCGGAAATAAGATGATGGGCGGTAGGCCTGTACGTGGACGAATCCAGAGAGGTAAAGGATTGCCCATAAATTGTATGTGATGTTCATTATAGACCAGGAGCACAATCAACAACCGAGTTATAACAATCAGCGCCCTTATAATCGTGACCAAAGAGAATACGGTCAACGTAATCAACGCGACTATAACCAGCGGAATTTCAATAATCGAGATAACACCAACCAGCGTGAAAACGGTAACCAGAGAGATGGCAATCAACGTGAGTACAATCAGCGTGATTATAGTGGTCAACGTGACTACAACAGACAAGGTAAGTTTATTTTGTCAGGCAACTAACTGGTTTAGTTGTTTCAGTATGACAGGCAGTGTAACTATTTTCTTTTTGTGGTTTCAGGTAGGCAGTTCGACTACAATTCAGGCAGAGGCGAAAGAGATGTAAACCGTTTCCAAGGTGCTCCAGCTAATCGAGGCGGGTCACGCGAGTTTGGTAGAAATGACCGCTTCGAACGAACAGATCAAAGACGAGATCGCAGCCCAGCCAGAGGAGAGCCAGTTCGTGGGTATGGCAGCTCAAAAGGACCCCGAATAACATCAGCCGTAATTCACCGTCCAGGAAATGCCAGCCCTTCGGAGTCGTCCTCTTCAGATGAGGACTAAATATCCTGGTATTTTTCAGGGATTCCTTACTGGTGCGTCGTGCAAATACTTTTATTAACGTACATATGACTTTAAACATTAAAATATTCATGTTGGAAATTCATTAATGTTGTAGTCTAATATACACTTCACTTCATACGCAGTTTTTTACAGAGCACAGTGAGGTAAAGTAGCGGGATAGAGTTGAAGTCATGCTGGAATAAGTCGATTCCAACCAAATATATGTATATACATATATGGAAGTAGGGTTGGGTATTAGTGTCTTAACCAGGCTTCGCTTATAAAACGTAATTTTGTTTAGTCAGGACTTTTCAGATGGTGACTGACCTAAAGCTCATTTTGTCGTGTACTGGTTTCGCTCGAGCAACTCATCGAATGCGAATAAGCTAACAATGTTATAATTAGTGGTTGAAAATTGTCCGCCTACTTACTGTGATAATGATAATTAATTACCTCGAAATTACAGGTGATATGGCTTGGGAGTCAAGCAAATTAGTGCAGCTGTCCTATTTTTGAGTTATTCAAAATGTCACCCAGGGTCGCTACTAATACACAATTAGGGTACCTAGATGTCGTGTCAGATGAACCGAAATAAACGCAAAGTCATGGCGCATGTTCTCCCACAAGGTATATACGCGATGTCTATGTTTTGCCGACCGACCTTCATAGGGAAGATAGAGTTCGCAAGCAGTATAGTGTTTCAAGAGTTCCGATCACACATGTGACTAACCGATAGATATGAGAGTGCTTCAAATCACTGACCTGGTTTGCCGTACGTCGGTACTGCGGTATAAGCAGGTCTTTTGGATGCTAATGAAATTTGGGCTGTGGTTTTCTGAGAGAAGATTATGAGCTTAGTGATTCTCTTCACTCCCTAAGAGAATAGCCCCACATTTGTGGTTAAGGGGATAGTGAGTTAGCGTTAGAACGTACGATTTTCCGGCTTTATATACTATAAAATGCTCTTATCTCAACATCGGCTACCTTCAATTCCGCAGGACTTAGGATTTGGTGGAATTATCCCACTACAGGCCTGAGTCGGCAGTTCACTGTTTCCTCTATCCCTTTGAAAAAAGATAGATTGGATAGGAATCCAGGAAGATGTTGAAGTCGCGTCAATTTCTGAAAACTTAGCACGACATTTATCATATAAGCTTCGGGAGAGTGGTAAGTTCTCCCACAATAGCACAAACTTTGGTCTCCGGCAGAATCGAGTGCAATACCAATTACTAGAGGTCCACAACCACGGGGTTCTCGTTGTCACTTTATGGACGCCCTGTTACCAGGCCGTCGGCGAAAGGAGTTGACAATGCACACTGTATCCATACAGCAACACCAGCGAGAGATGCCTTCATTCAATCAACAACAAACTAAATGTACGACACTCGGTAGAATTAGCTGACGTCCTGTCATCTTTTACGCCAACCATTTGACCTGGCTGAATGTGTAGTATATTTGTTGGTGAGCGATAATATCCTTACAGGAAGTAATTCGGTGTAAGCCCACATGTTTCATCCCTGGTTTTTTGTAGTCCTCAGTTGATTACTAACATATGCTGTTAAAAGCTCAATGAATAGTTTTAATGTGTTACGTGTTTAAGCGTGTGTTTCACATTCAACGTCCGGTGGTTAGTTGAACATGGTGAGTGGGATGGGGTTCATGGGCGCTTATGTGTGGTTCCGTTGTTCTCATGACTAACGCACGTTTTTTTAATCTTTTAGGGTCGTTCGAAGCAGTTGTGTAAGTAATACTCTTTGGTTTACGTCCCATTTTCTGTTTTCGAATTTACTTACCAGATTGTTTGGTTTTAGTAAATAATTCAACAATTAAATCTCCAAAGACTAGTGCTACTCCGGAATCAAAAAACAAGCATCTCGTCAACGGCAAAGGCACTCCATTGAGAGGTGGATCAAAGCGTCCAGTCCCTGTCGGCAGCGACGATAGTGATGTAGAGGTTGAGACAGGTGCGTTGGGCGGTGATGCTGGTGAACTAAGGATGTCACATAAGGTAATAAGCTAATATGTTCACTCCATATAGCCCGAGTTGTTTTTTGTCTTGTTACGCACCAGAAGTTTGCTCGGTATGTAAGGATATTCTCATAAAGTCCCAATTGTCTGCCAGCCTTAGAGTCTACTGATTATACAGTACTGTGTTTACAGTCCGATTCCATATATAGATTGTGCTTGTCACTACCTTTCATGGACTTTTTGTGGGAAGCCTAGTCAGACTTTGTGGGTTGTTGTGGGTTACTCTTATATTCGACCAGTGACATGCACTTAGCGTGTATAAACACATTTATGACAGTGGGCGTTCACATGGGTACAAGCTCAAACAATGATCAACGTTTACCTTGAGTTTTGTTATTTGTACTTATGGTCATCCTACTTCGTGATGAATGACTATCAAATTTCCTGTTTAGTGTAGCTGAACCGGGACTGATAGTTGGGTGAAGATATGAATTAGTTTTTACTTATATATATGGAGAGGATGGTGTTCCATCTGAGCCTCAAGTTCCAATCTCATGCATATCGGGTTCTATATTAGACTTTTTAGTTATTAATACTAGTTTATATTCTTACCTAGTTTAACATGGTAATGCACAAGCCAGATAGTTCATGTAAGCCGGCAGCAGTCGAATCGTCCTACCACAAAATCAGAGATCAGTTGTTCGAAATCTCGACTAGTTTATTGGGAAACAGATTTGCCACAAGCCAAATCAACTAATTTTTAAAAGCTTCGAAGTATATAAGTCTTATAACCTGATCAAACGATTTTTGTTCCAAACAAATTCATAGAAACTGAAGCTGGCGACTGAAAAGGGAATGGAACTGCAGAAAAAAGATCTTATCAGTGAAGATGAAGAGGATGATGACGAAGAAAATGATAGTGCGGAAGAAGAGGAGGAGGAAAACGAAGATAATGAAGATGATGACGATGACGAAAGCGAAGAGGAAGATGACGACGACGATAATGAGGAGGAAGACGACGACGACGATAGTGAGGAGGAAGACGACGACGATAATGAGGAAGAGTCTAGTGAGGGAGAGGAAGAAAGTAATAAAGACAATTCAGAACTGAATGTTGAGAAAGGTAAAGCCATCAACAACCTGGTTGGGTCAAAGGCTGTCCAAAAACCTGGTTCGATGTTGAACATTGAGAAATTGACGGAAAATAAGGTATCAAGCATACCGAGTAAAATGACTGAGGGATCTGAGCCACAAAGCAGTACATCAGGCAAGGTCCTCATACTACATGGACCTGATAACTTGAATAGCTTGAAAGAATTCCTTTCCAAAATTAGCCCAGTGACCAGCATAAGCAGGATGGAACCAGCACCCATAATGGCTACCATCGCTAATATAAGCATTTTCAAAAGTCGATTAAAGTCAGGAAAGTTGATGTTTCACGGGAAGGAGCTCGAAGTAATACCTGTAGATAGAGTCGAGGACGCTAATAAAGGAATGCAACCCACCAAAACTTTGTTCGTAGGTGGAATTCCAAAATCCCTGACAATTGTAAGTTACTTCTTTCTAAACATTGTATTATTCCAGGAACAACTAAAAAGTCAACTCCCCAACAACTGTCAACCTGTTTCCCTAAATTTGCTGAATAAAAACCCTAAAATCAATAGTGCATTTATGTCCTTCTCCTCTATTGATGTGGCTAAGCAAGCTCACCAAATTTTCAGTTCTTTAACTGTGGAAGGTCAACTGTTCAAAGCTAACTTCGCTAAAGATCAACAGCCTCGTAAGTATTGGTTGTCAGTAGTCGTTTAACTAGCATCCTTTAGGAGCTGGTCCTGATGGTTCCGTAAGAGTCGCAGTTTCAAATTGGGATGGTCATCCGAACCAGTTGCGTAAGCTATTCCCGACATGTTTAGACGTTCAGTGGATTCAGAAAAAACGGTGAGTAAAGTTAGTTTTCGGCGAATTGGTTCAAACATTTCGTAAACTAGTCACTCACTTAAGTTGTTTAGCGTCAGTTATTATCGGTCTTACATTTTCTTCTTCATACAGAAAGGCATTTCTTAAATTTCCTTCCTTGGAAGTCCGAAAGGCTGCTGTCTCACAGCCAAAGTTCCATGCCGGCAAACAGCTGAAACTGGCATTAACAGGAGGACCAGAGCTCAAGACTGCCATCGTTTGGGGTTTTCCAGCTGACACAAAAGAATCAGACATCAAAGGATTATTTGGTGGCGTTGTTTCAGTGTCACGTGATACAACTACAGGGAACCAGAGCGCGTAAGTATATTGATATCTTGATAGTTGCCTTCGAAACTAAATTGTTACTGCCTTTATCCCATTTTGATTAGATCAGTTCGTTCGTAACGTCTGACAGTGTATTGCCTTGTTTCAGATCCATGACTGTCGAGTTTGAAACCGCTGCAGATTGTAACAATGCGATTTCCTCAAACGCAACTCTGAAAGGTCGCCGCGTGACAATATTTTTAAAAGGTATGTAGAATGATAATTGAAATTTTACCTCAAAAGTTTTGATTTGCTCACATTACATGTCATCCAGACACCAACTTACTAGGATTTTCGCTTCAATCTTTCGAGTTTTTGCCTCACTAAACTAACCCGTATTTCTCCTTCAGATGTCTTTGTTGATGATTGTTCTAACAATCAACAGAAGCATTCTAAACCATCTGAGAAGAAAGCTAAACGTGAGTTTGTTTCGGTTTGTTTTGTATGTTTGTTCGCAATTGTGCTGTCTTTCTAAAGGTTTTTGGTGTTCATTATAGCTGTAGAAGTAGGTGTTTCAAAGGTCAAGGCTGCTCACAAAGTTTCAAAGGCAGAGGAAGTGAATGATGCAGATGACATTGAGGATGAGAATGACGACGAAGAGGACGAAGATACAAGTGAAGATGGCGACAACAGTGACGAAGACGATGAAAGTGAAGATGAAAGCGAGGAAGAAGAGGATGGAAGTGAAGACGAAAGTGACGAGGACGTTGATATGGTCTCACCTAAAGGCAAGGAGAAGAAGCAGTTTCCTGGCTTACACGACAAAAAAACTGGTGGATTTCCGAAAGCAGACAACCGTTCAGGAGATCAAAGCAACTTCAAAGCGCAGCACAAATTTGGTGGTGATTTCAAGCGCAACTCGTTTCGTGGTCGTGGTGGTCGATCTCGCGGCCGCGGTGGTCAGTCGCCTCACGGTCGTGGTGGTCAGTCTTTCCGTGGTCGTGGTGGTAACCGTGGGGGCTGGTCAAAACGCGGTGGTTCTGGTTAAAAAACTTGATTGCCCTGTAAATTCAAATTGCAAATAAATCTTTGTAAATGAATCTGATTTCTCTGACAGTTTGTTTTCCTCCCTGATGAGTACTTCTGTTTTTAGTTAAAAAGCATGTCACTGACACAGGCATATCAGTCTGGTCAAGCCACTTCTTTGGCCGTATACAATCTACCCACCTCGGCAGACGAAACAGAAGTTCAGTCGGTATTCCCTTCGGCTAGGTCAGTCAACTTCGTACGAAGTCATTCTGCGTCTTCGCAATCTAAAGGGTGAGTACAGTTTGCTCCCTACAAATTGATTTGTTACCGCACAATTAACGACATTATAAGAGATCTAATTCACTCCGTTTTATGAGCAGTACCACAGTAGGTTCGACAGTCTGCGATATTTTTGTTTGGCAAGTTAAATGTCCAAAGGTGAACCTAGGCATTTTAATGATGTTCCGTTAGTACGTTAACAAGAACTGACTCCGATCTTTTACCTTTCTACCTTTTGTTACTGGCGACGCAGGTGTGCCACATTGACCCATTCCTGTAATGTGAGCAGGTGGTACTATTTGCGATGGAGTGAAATGCAGGAAGGTCGACCCGAACACTTTCGATGGAGGTAGAAATTTGTTACTCGAAAGATCTGCCTACGGGGTCTTTAGTAAAGCTTATTCGCTTCCCATTGATCGCTCCATATTTGCTCTCTTTTTCTGTTTCATATGTGAAACAGCATGTGCATCTTGCAATTCAACAATGCTCGCGACTGTCAACAAGCCTACGATGAATGTCTTCAAGGAAAAGAAATTGGTGGACAGCTGCTGCATGCGGAACTGAACGGAGGTGAGTTGGTCATTAAAACTCGTACAACCACTGGACTTATTTCAGAAGCTCTTTAATAATCACTCAGTTTATATATTTCAGATTATCATTCCAGTTCGTCGGAAAATTTAAATGTCAGCCAGCATTATGGAGGCAATTCCAGGGATTTCAGACGTTCACATGCCGATAATGAGTACAGCCAGCCCACATATGATCCGCATAGTAGAACTGATAGTGAAAGTTCTTCCAACGCCTCTTGTACACTCACCGTGTCAAATCTTCCCTATACAGCATCTGAAAGAGATATTATGCGCGAGTTCCCAGAAGCCCTCCGAGTGGCACTTTCGTTAGACGAGCAGGGACGTTCTAGAGGGTAAATTTTATTTTTGAACTTTCAATTGTTTGTAGCGTTGCTCACGTGACTTTCTCGAATTCCGACCAGTGCAGCGCCGCTCTTACTTCCTGCGGAAATAAGATGATGGGCGGTAGGCCTGTACGTGGACGAATCCAGAGAGGTAAAGGATTGCCCATAAATTGTATGTGATGTTCATTATAGACCAGGAGCACAATCAACAACCGAGTTATAACAATCAGCGCCCTTATAATCGTGACCAAAGAGAATACGGTCAACGTAATCAACGCGACTATAACCAGCGGAATTTCAATAATCGAGATAACACCAACCAGCGTGAAAACGGTAACCAGAGAGATGGCAATCAACGTGAGTACAATCAGCGTGATTATAGTGGTCAACGTGACTACAACAGACAAGGTAAGTTTATTTTGTCAGGCAACTAACTGGTTTAGTTGTTTCAGTATGACAGGCAGTGTAACTATTTTCTTTTTGTGGTTTCAGGTAGGCAGTTCGACTACAATTCAGGCAGAGGCGAAAGAGATGTAAACCGTTTCCAAGGTGCTCCAGCTAATCGAGGCGGGTCACGCGAGTTTGGTAGAAATGACCGCTTCGAACGAACAGATCAAAGACGAGATCGCAGCCCAGCCAGAGGAGAGCCAGTTCGTGGGTATGGCAGCTCAAAAGGACCCCGAATAACATCAGCCGTAATTCACCGTCCAGGAAATGCCAGCCCTTCGGAGTCGTCCTCTTCAGATGAGGACTAAATATCCTGGTATTTTTCAGGGATTCCTTACTGGTGCGTCGTGCAAATACTTTTATTAACGTACATATGACTTTAAACATTAAAATATTCATGTTGGAAATTCATTAATGTTGTAGTCTAATATACACTTCACTTCATACGCAGTTTTTTACAGAGCACAGTGAGGTAAAGTAGCGGGATAGAGTTGAAGTCATGCTGGAATAAGTCGATTCCAACCAAATATATGTATATACATATATGGAAGTAGGGTTGGGTATTAGTGTCTTAACCAGGCTTCGCTTATAAAACGTAATTTTGTTTAGTCAGGACTTTTCAGATGGTGACTGACCTAAAGCTCATTTTGTCGTGTACTGGTTTCGCTCGAGCAACTCATCGAATGCGAATAAGCTAACAATGTTATAATTAGTGGTTGAAAATTGTCCGCCTACTTACTGTGATAATGATAATTAATTACCTCGAAATTACAGGTGATATGGCTTGGGAGTCAAGCAAATTAGTGCAGCTGTCCTATTTTTGAGTTATTCAAAATGTCACCCAGGGTCGCTACTAATACACAATTAGGGTACCTAGATGTCGTGTCAGATGAACCGAAATAAACGCAAAGTCATGGCGCATGTTCTCCCACAAGGTATATACGCGATGTCTATGTTTTGCCGACCGACCTTCATAGGGAAGATAGAGTTCGCAAGCAGTATAGTGTTTCAAGAGTTCCGATCACACATGTGACTAACCGATAGATATGAGAGTGCTTCAAATCACTGACCTGGTTTGCCGTACGTCGGTACTGCGGTATAAGCAGGTCTTTTGGATGCTAATGAAATTTGGGCTGTGGTTTTCTGAGAGAAGATTATGAGCTTAGTGATTCTCTTCACTCCCTAAGAGAATAGCCCCACATTTGTGGTTAAGGGGATAGTGAGTTAGCGTTAGAACGTACGATTTTCCGGCTTTATATACTATAAAATGCTCTTATCTCAACATCGGCTACCTTCAATTCCGCAGGACTTAGGATTTGGTGGAATTATCCCACTACAGGCCTGAGTCGGCAGTTCACTGTTTCCTCTATCCCTTTGAAAAAAGATAGATTGGATAGGAATCCAGGAAGATGTTGAAGTCGCGTCAATTTCTGAAAACTTAGCACGACATTTATCATATAAGCTTCGGGAGAGTGGTAAGTTCTCCCACAATAGCACAAACTTTGGTCTCCGGCAGAATCGAGTGCAATACCAATTACTAGAGGTCCACAACCACGGGGTTCTCGTTGTCACTTTATGGACGCCCTGTTACCAGGCCGTCGGCGAAAGGAGTTGACAATGCACACTGTATCCATACAGCAACACCAGCGAGAGATGCCTTCATTCAATCAACAACAAACTAAATGTACGACACTCGGTAGAATTAGCTGACGTCCTGTCATCTTTTACGCCAACCATTTGACCTGGCTGAATGTGTAGTATATTTGTTGGTGAGCGATAATATCCTTACAGGAAGTAATTCGGTGTAAGCCCACATGTTTCATCCCTGGTTTTTTGTAGTCCTCAGTTGATTACTAACATATGCTGTTAAAAGCTCAATGAATAGTTTTAATGTGTTACGTGTTTAAGCGTGTGTTTCACATTCAACGTCCGGTGGTTAGTTGAACATGGTGAGTGGGATGGGGTTCATGGGCGCTTATGTGTGGTTCCGTTGTTCTCATGACTAACGCACGTTTTTTTAATCTTTTAGGGTCGTTCGAAGCAGTTGTGTAAGTAATACTCTTTGGTTTACGTCCCATTTTCTGTTTTCGAATTTACTTACCAGATTGTTTGGTTTTAGTAAATAATTCAACAATTAAATCTCCAAAGACTAGTGCTACTCCGGAATCAAAAAACAAGCATCTCGTCAACGGCAAAGGCACTCCATTGAGAGGTGGATCAAAGCGTCCAGTCCCTGTCGGCAGCGACGATAGTGATGTAGAGGTTGAGACAGGTGCGTTGGGCGGTGATGCTGGTGAACTAAGGATGTCACATAAGGTAATAAGCTAATATGTTCACTCCATATAGCCCGAGTTGTTTTTTGTCTTGTTACGCACCAGAAGTTTGCTCGGTATGTAAGGATATTCTCATAAAGTCCCAATTGTCTGCCAGCCTTAGAGTCTACTGATTATACAGTACTGTGTTTACAGTCCGATTCCATATATAGATTGTGCTTGTCACTACCTTTCATGGACTTTTTGTGGGAAGCCTAGTCAGACTTTGTGGGTTGTTGTGGGTTACTCTTATATTCGACCAGTGACATGCACTTAGCGTGTATAAACACATTTATGACAGTGGGCGTTCACATGGGTACAAGCTCAAACAATGATCAACGTTTACCTTGAGTTTTGTTATTTGTACTTATGGTCATCCTACTTCGTGATGAATGACTATCAAATTTCCTGTTTAGTGTAGCTGAACCGGGACTGATAGTTGGGTGAAGATATGAATTAGTTTTTACTTATATATATGGAGAGGATGGTGTTCCATCTGAGCCTCAAGTTCCAATCTCATGCATATCGGGTTCTATATTAGACTTTTTAGTTATTAATACTAGTTTATATTCTTACCTAGTTTAACATGGTAATGCACAAGCCAGATAGTTCATGTAAGCCGGCAGCAGTCGAATCGTCCTACCACAAAATCAGAGATCAGTTGTTCGAAATCTCGACTAGTTTATTGGGAAACAGATTTGCCACAAGCCAAATCAACTAATTTTTAAAAGCTTCGAAGTATATAAGTCTTATAACTTGATCAAACGATTTTTGTTCCAAACAAATTCATAGAAACTGAAGCTGGCGACTGAAAAGGGAATGGAACTGCAGAAAAAAGATCTTATCAGTGAAGATGAAGAGGATGATGACGAAGAAAATGATAGTGCGGAAGAAGAGGAGGAGGAAAACGAAGATAATGAAGATGATGACGATGACGAAAGCGAAGAGGAAGATGACGACGACGATAATGAGGAGGAAGACGACGACGACGATAGTGAGGAGGAAGACGACGACGATAATGAGGAAGAGTCTAGTGAGGGAGAGGAAGAAAGTAATAAAGACAATTCAGAACTGAATGTTGAGAAAGGTAAAGCCATCAACAACCTGGTTGGGTCAAA